TTGCAAAAATAAGAGTTTAGTGGTTGTAAAGTGATGTAAGAACGAGGAAGTCGATGATTGGGGCAGCGGCAGCGGTCGACGTCCTGCGTAGGAGGACCCTTTGTCTCCTGGACACGCGGACTTCAGAACTAAATTGTACTAGTAGTTTCAACAAATATGTAACTATATTTCTTACATCGAATGCTGATCCGACGGAAACTGCTCTGGAAAAACGAGATTCGAAGATATTGAATAACAGTTTGTAAGAAGTGTATTCTCATGATCCATTAGTTAAATTGGTTGGTAAATCTTTTAACTTCATATAAAGAGATGTGGCAGCCGTGAGTAAGGGGTAAAAGGGTCAAATAAATATCAAATCCTCAGATCACCAATCGATTGGAACTGCGAAATACCAAACTTTTGTCAGGTACCTACAAAATTATATCGAAACCTCAGTGTTCACGTGCGACTCGCACTTGACCGTTTCTTTTCTCAACACTTTAATCTTTATATATATAGATATACTAGCTGACCCAGCGAACTTCGTACCGCCATAAAAATAGGAGCAGGTGGTAGAAGAGAAAATTTAGGGTTGTATGTATTTTTTAATAACACATTTAAAAAAAAAAATATTGTCAAAAAAAAATTTTGTGGTGTGTAACGTAGTGTTCTATCAATTTCCTGGGATAACATTCCTCCTAACCTATATGAGAACACTACGTTAGAATACCCAATAGTTTGAATTTTGGCGCGCGAAGGCGCATTGTGGTTTTCAGAACACTACGTTACAGGTGGACAACCATTATCACTTGAGGATATGAAAAATAGATAGTAGGCGATTCTCAGACCCACAGAATATGATATAAAATTTCTAGAAAAATCGGTCCGGCCGCTTTGGAGGAATATGTTAACTAACATTGTGACACGAGAATTTTATATATAAGACTAGCTGACCCAGCGAACTTCGTACCGCCATAAAAAATTTAATTAAAAAAACATTGTCCAGCGGACAAAATTGTGAATCTAAACCATTCTCAGATCCCCTTGAACACACACAAAAAATTTCATCAAAATCGGTCCAGTCGTTTAAGAGAAGTTCAGTGACATACACACTCACAGAAGAATTATATATATAAAGATATACATAAAAGGCAACCGTTACTGAACCGAACTATCAACGCAAAACTGAAACCAATTAACGGATTGCGCTGAAATTTGGCACGCAGATACCTAGCTATTATGATGTAGGCGTGCGCTAAGAAAGGATTTCCCAAAACCCACCTACTAAAACGGTATAACGGAGGTTTAAAGTTTTTATGGGAAACGAAGATTTCCACGCCGTCTGCGTGGAAATCTTCGTCGCGCGTACCCACTAGTATGAACATAAAAATTTAAGGACTGAAGTGGGCTAAGAACTTTTGTATAGGCAACCAATTAAACCAAGTAGACCAAGTTACGCTGCAACTGCTGAGATGCAATACGCAACATCAGAATCTGAATTAATTACTTTCTCGAGATTAAAATTTAACCAGTTCGTGAATAGGTTTCAGATAGTTATATCAACTAGAACAAAATCTGACAGACGTTGCTAATTCAAGACCTTTGAAATCAAAATTTGTAGTTAACCATAATATATCCGAATAGATTTATCAGGGACTTTGTCACCAAATGCTAAAACAGATCCCTAAGATTTGAATGCTAAATGATTAAAAAATTTTTTTTTCAAGCTTTTGAAAGTAAGGTTTAGTTACTTTTTTGTGTGTTTACAAAAAAACATGTAAGGCTTTACTAATGTTCAATACATTATATATGCTACTAATGGGTAAAACAGCAATCGGTTTGATATGTACGACAATTTTTATTACCTTTGTGCAAAATGAATATAAAATTGGAATTCAATAATTTTTTATTCACCCATTCGATGATTGGCCGTTACGAAAGTTGCTTAATTTTCACGTTTGCATACCGAATCCAACATCAATTCGAATTTTGTAAATTGTGTGGTACTGTGTACTACTACTGGCTAGGGACGAAGAGGCTTTTATTGGAATTTATTCAGATGTTTTACTTCTGCTTGCGATTTCATTAGTTACTTTTTTTTTATCGCGAAATAATATTGTATAAGTTTTCATGTCATGTAGTTGATAGTTTTTACATTTCTACAGATATCTAAAATTTTAAGGTAAATAACGAGTAGGTATGGTGTTTGTGTGCCAATTTCATCCAAATCCGTGCAACTGTTGGTAAGCAGCTTGAATAAGTAACAAACACTAAAACATAAAATTTCACATTTTAAATAGTATGACGGATTAGAAATTTCACTCTACAATGCCCATTAACAGCGTTACTTAACCTTTATTTCAGATATATGATCCGGAAAATTTGGATTTTTTTTTAAGACGTTATTACAAAAATTCTGTAAATAAAACTTTCGCAAAGTATTTAAACATGATGTAGCTGATATGAAGCAATGAAAAGAAATGTGATATCAGTAAAAAAAAAGAAAAAAAGGTAGAAATTTACTGTACGATCAAGTTATATGAGAAATTTAAATGTGCGTATATGTAATTACAAATCTATCAACTGAGCAACCAAGAGTATGTTGATCAAGGTGCCGGTGGACGAATTTCGCATTTATGCGTATTACCTACAACCGAAATGCAGACAGCACCCGTCCCATGTCAATGTCGACTAATTCGATAATACCCGGTACCTGTCCAGTAAACAAGTCGAGATTGCCGGCTTCCGCCTTCGTGCGGGCCCCTGACCCCCTTGTGTTTACGTGTCAGGAACCCGTGGCATATTACTACAGCACTTCCCACTATAACCTACACACTATTGCCAACCACTCGACTCTGGCACTACCTATCCCATCAACGTCAATGATAAAGTCATCTAATTAAAGTTTTTTTTTCATAGCCGCAGTATTTCTGTATTTATGCTTATTTTCAAAAATTAAGTATTATCAAATAAAAAATTCAGTATTAACGGCTCTATTCTGAAATAAATAAAAGAGTCCAGTGACACGAAAAGCTATTTTTAAGAATTTATATAAAAATCCCTTATCGATCTACATTAGTCTTATAGCAAAAAAAAATATCTTCATTCCGCAGGATTCTTCCGAGTTAAAAGATTTTTTATCGAATTGCCTACATCCTTACCTACTCTTAAGATAAAAGTCAGCTGAGAAGTACTTATCTGTCAAATGTATAGCAAATACGAATAGCCATGTGAAGTGCTTCCATTAGAATCCGTTATTTGGAATTGACTGGTTTGACTCAGGAGAAGGAAGAAATGTACTAGAATCCATGATGGAGCCATTGTATTGGATCCAAGTGGACGAATGAGTAATTTGACATACCAGGGTTAAATTGAATGTAAGCATAGTGTGAAAATTACATTAGTATAAGTAGCATGCACTTTGTAGAGAGAAAATAAACAAGACAGAACAGAAGATATTGACAAAGAGGTACAAAATACAAATATTATATTGACTTCATATTTCTTTTAACTAGTTTTACTGTAAAAATTAAAAATAATAAAAAAAAAAATTAAATGAAATTAATTTAAAATTTACTAATGGCTTTGAAAATAAATATGCTATTAGCTGGTGGCGCTAAAACTGTAAGTAGTACAATAGCATAGACGTGTTAACACGAAACTTTTCCATTAAATTGAAAATAGTTTATAATCTCATGTGAAATCGATTGAAGCCGTTCTTCCTAGATAGCATAAACATTGGTTTTCAACTGGCACATTGTTTACAAACGAAAACCGAAGTATTTCCAGTTATTTACAACTGGGAGTAAGCCTAAGCAGATGTTTGGATCCGGGTGCGCAAGATTGAGGACTTTTAAAATACTTACTACAACGTTACTTTATTTTACAACATAACAATTTAGTGAAAACATCACAAAAGTCAACGAAAACTTATAACTTTTAGATATCTAACGAAACAAAGTATATAAATTAGTCGCTTTGCAAACACTGGAGAAATAAAATATTCGCAGAAAAAACAAGGCACACAGTTCAATTCAGCAAAAAGAAAATTCCTAATACATCTTGTAAAGCTGGCTTCGAGGAAACTGGAGAAACAAGGAACTTATATCGTACGCAGGTAGCCTTTTGCATCACTTGATCCACAGCATCAGTATTTTACTTGTCATTCAATATTGTTGTAAGTAGTTCAGCTGTCTACTTTGGTAAAACTTGTGTAGATAAATATATTAAGAAAATTACTGTGTTCGAGTGGTGCATGTGACATTGGCGAAAGTAGGCATATCAGAGAGCTAAGTGTGAGCTTCTAGAACGCTTACTCGACCGCGTTCACGTAAATATGAAATTGCGTTGCATTAAGATTGTCTTTTGCTTTATCATTTTCTGTAAATTGGTATAAATCTACGATAACAAATGGAAAAATGTCGTTTAAGCAGTAAAGATTGAGTTTTAAACTCCCACTTAGCATAGCGCACAGAGATAACTCGCTTTCGTGCTCACAAGAGACAAACAGGGAAAAGGTAAAGAAGACGGGAGGAAAAAAAATGAAAATATTAATGCTAGTGAAGGACAGAGTTTGGTTATAATTTTTGTTTAGATTTTAAAGTTAAGAGAAACTGTATAATGATGAACAATCAAAAAAGATTAGCTGTCGCACGAGTCATAAACGAACTTTTCCACTGAACACTGTTGTGTGTTGTAGTTGGCTTTATCACTTGACAATATTGTTTAATGACTATGACTTGATGAAGCATTAAAATTAATAAATCTCCGAGTACAGTACAGAGACATAGAAGAAATTACGTGTAAAACATTTTGTAGTGCAGATAAGTATAACGGAATACATATATCGATTAATTATTAAGCCCGTAATTTTTTAATTCGATTCGTACCCTTTTCAGGGTTCACGTTTAAAAAAGAGTTACAAAGCAACACAACAGTGTTTTATTTAATGTTGATTACGTGTGAAAGTTTAAAAGAAGCGAGCAAGCATTTCGAGTAAATAAAACACAAACCTAACTCACCAGTTCTCGTACAGTCGGGCCTGCCGTTCCGCACGGCGGTGTCCGGCAGCGGTTTCCCGTCCGGCGAGACGCACCAGCAGCTTGCGGCGGCGCCGGCGCTGGCACATTGCACGGCGGCATAGGTGCCGTCGGCACGGCACCGCGGTACGAACGGCGCTCGACGCCCACTCTGAGCGTTCAGGGCGTACCGTAGCGCGATCATGCACGACGACTGGCCTTCTGTTGACGTCATCTTCCATATCAGGAATCAGGATGGTAAGGAGCTCAATGGCAAGTGGTTAGCGCACTCGGTCTGCGATCGTAGAAGTTAAGTTAAACAACTTTCGCAATGGCCGGTCATTGGATGGGTGACCAAAAACTTATTATCTAGAGCTCCTCCGTGTTTCGGAAGGCAAGGCATCTACAGGCATCAGAACCTACTTTGAGTTCCTCTGTTCTTGAAAACAAGATGCAGTTTCTTTAATACTCCTTCCCATTTGCCCACGTGTTAATATAATAAGCATCATTCCTCCTCCTTGCTCCAGTAACTTTTGTTATCGGACACCACAAGAAAGAGAAATCAAACAACGCTTAGCGAAATTATTTCGTGCGAGCCAAATTCTCCAAACGGGAAAATTTCATCTTACAGAAGAACGCATTGAAACAACACTACCTTTTGGCGGTGTTATGTATTTTTCGATGAGTTCGGTTGCAGATAATTGATTCCACGGGGTGGGGAATAGAGTGATAATGGCTTGACGGTTATGTTTTTTTGGAATTCAGCTATCTTCGTGAATTGACTCAATACAACATCAAACTTAAGATCAGGTATGTTAGGTGGAGTAAGAATTTATTTAAATTATTTTAAATTGAGACCTTTGGGATAATGGTGATCATAATATTATGGTTGTCATAAAATTTAAGTGAATTCCAAAGGAAGGGCATATTTCATGAGAGTGGTTAATTTAAGCTTTTCTTGATTCAGTAGTCTCATCTCAATTCAAAATTAAAGTGTCAATCTAAGTTTATTGTTAAATGCTTAACAGAGTTTACCGAAGCTTTTCATCGCACTCAAATATACGAGTGTAAAAGTCCAAACAATGGTAATTGTTTGCCTAAAACTACAAAGCATCTTAAATAAAAGATCGAGACGGATACCACTGATGAACGGCACGCATACGTCAACGATCGCAAGGTTAAAAGCGGACAAAGATGTTTCTCATTATCAACACCACACTATACTATTGTGGATGGAAACAGTATTTCTTTATAAGCCACTAACTATTTTAGTTTTCTAAACTTATATTATTCATGTTTCATTCCAATGGCTTTGCAGTCAGGAATCTACATTTGTTGGGACAAAAGACCTCAGACTTTTCTTTTTAAATTAGTGGGTGGACTAAGAATAGTTGACGTTAGGAGTATTTAGTAGTCTATTCCAAAAAAAAGATTTTGCAGTGTTAATGACTCATAATTATACATACGCAACTACTTCTCTTTTTAAAAAAAATGTAGGAAACTAGTATGTTTATCGCCTTTTAGTAAGCGACCACCACAGCCAATATTGATATTTGTGATACCAATAAATCGTGGAGCACTGGAAACCTTACTGACTGATAGAAACACACCAAAAGGCACTCCAACAAGCACTGTTTTCTTAAGTGCTCGTCTGGATAACGCCAACGCAATTACTATTATAACTCACCAAGCCACGGGCTCTTGTGTAATATTGCGGGTTCTGAAGAACACTGGGCCTTCATCAGGTGACATCTCGTCGGGTAGGTGCGACCGTCTGTGCCGCAAATTGGTCGTCTGTTAACCGCGCTTGTTTCGCACGCTGAAGCCCGTGTCGCGCAAGTACTGCTTCCTTAAGTGCTTGTCGGGATAACACCTACGTAATTACTATTATAACTCACCGAGACACGGGCCCTTGTGTGCGGTTGCGACTAGTTCTCAGGAACACTGGGCCTTCATCAGATGGCATCTCGTAAGGTAAGTGCGACCGTCTATGCCGCAGACTGGTCGTTTGGTGCCTGCGTTGGCTACACACAATGAAGCGCGGCTCGAGCAAGCACTGCTTCCTTGGGTGCTCGTCTGGATAACGACAACGTAATGACTATTATAACTCACCTGGACTCGAACCTTTGTGTGCGATTGCGACTGGTTCTCAGGTACACTTCGCCTGTAGCAGATGACATCTTGTCGGGTAGGTGTGGCTGTCTGTGCTGCAGACTGCTCGTTTGGTACCAGCGTTTGTTTCACACAATGAAGCCCGTGTCGCGCAAGTACTGCTTCCTTAAGTGCTTGACTGGATAACACCTAGGTAATTACTACTATAACTCACCGAGACACGGGCACTTCTGTGAGATTGCGATGGGTTCTGGGGTACACTGGGCCTTCATCAGGTGACATCTCGTATGGAAAGTGCGACCGTCTATGCCGCAGACTGGTCGATTGGTGAGAAAGCACTGCTTCCTTGAGTGTTCGGCTGCATAACGACAACGTAATTACTATTATAACTCACTAAGACTCGAACCCTTGTGTGCGATTGCGAAAGGTTCTGAAGACCACTGGGCCTGCAGCAGATGACATCCAGCAGGGTAGGTGTGACTGTCTGTGTCGCAGACTGGTCGTTTGGTACCCGCGCTTGTTTCGCACGATGAAGGCCGTGTCGCGCAAGTACTGCTTCCTCAAGTGCTTGCTTGGATAACACCTAGGTAATGACTATTATAACTCACCGAGACACGGGCCCTTGTGTGCGATTGCGACGGGTTCTGAGGAACACTGGGCCTTCATAAGGTGACATCTCGTCGGATAGGTGCGACCGTCTGTGCCGCAGACTGGTCGTTTGGTACCCGCACTGGTTTCGCACGACGACGCGCGGGTCGAGCAAACACTGACTTGAGTGCTCGTCTGGATAACACCACATAAATTAGTATAATTTCTATTCATAATATAGGGACAAACAAGCAGTTTATTATTATTCTTATTTATGCTCAATGGAAAACTGAGTACAATGCAATTCGGGATGTTGATGTGGAATTTCGTAGAATTCTCGCTACTCCTTTCCAGACCGATTCATAATGGGGCCAGGAGAGCAGAAGCCCAATGTGAATGGAAAAGCTATAGCGTCCTCTAGGACGGCAAAGTAAATAGGTGGAAACGAGCAGATTCACCGTTATCCATGGAAATATTATACAACATTAGGGAAATTAAAGCATTACTGTTTTTTCAAAAATGGGACTAATTTTAGGCTTGGTTTAAACCAAACAAAAGTGACAGCACCTTTTTTTAGATTTTAACTTTAGTCAACGTTTTGTAATAACGGGGTTAGCGGCTAATTAAAAGCTTTATACAAATGATGCTGAATCTTTCTCGTTAACAGGCTTATTAAATTTAAGCTAACTTACATGAATACTTAGTAATCTCAATGGCTGTTCTTACAGAACGTAAGATATAATAATGATAAAGCAGGTATTCGTATTAAAGTAGAATATCGAACTCAATTTCTCCAGATTTTTCAAAAGTACAGTACATAACTACTGTATACTGTTGTTTTTACGGCTACTTAAAAAAGTGATTTAATTTAATTCACAAACGAAAAAGGTTATACGAAGAAGATATTTAATACAGCTGATAAGTATTACTTTTCGGCGTTGATAAAATCAGTAGCACTCAGCAGGTATTAATTTAGTTAGTCTATGATTAATTTGAGTTTTTATTATGCTTCAAGTGGATTTGATCACTTCAAAACCTCACGACACATCGGATCGATACACGAATATTGATATTAATGCTTCTTTATTCTGTTTAGGTATTATGAAATGTGTGTTTTTGTAGCATTTTCATTAAATAAGAAATTAGCACTTCTGCTCAAAAATTACTTAAATTTTGATGAAAATAATTTTAAGTGATTTTTCAGCAGTCGTTAAATTTTTTAAAGAAATAGATTCATCTATTGTATTAAGAGAGGCAGGGCATAGTGAAATTACCGCTTGAATTGGAGCGCCGGTCTGGGGAAGTAACCTCCACCTTACAGAAGATAAAACTAGGTACCTTTTGGAGGTGTTGTGTTTCTGTCAGTGAGTAAGGTTCCAGGGCACCACGTGGTAGGGGATTGAGTCAGGACAGCCGTGTGAGAGTGATATTTTTGGTATCGCAAGCGTCTACAGGCTATGGTGGCCGCTTATCATTATGCGGCACATAAGCTTGTTTGCCAACCTTTTAAAATAAAATAAAAATTTATACTCCATATACTGAACCTGGAGAGCCGATTTCAAACCTCATCCAAGAAGAGCAAAAAGGTAGGGGTTCGTTGCTTTAAGGTGAAAATCGTGTGAGTCTTATCGCGCTTATGGGAAGAAATTCTTCGAGCTTTCAATGTAGTGCTAACAAATTTGTAGACAGTCCATAACGTTAACCACGGACCACGATGAATGAATGATCGTTACCAATAATAAATTACCTAGAGTGTTTCAGTGTTAACACATCGTTTGTAATCTATACATATAAATAATATTGGAGTGTCTGCTTGTAATAATGAAATAACCGCTTTTTACTACATGAATATGAATATATGTACATATATACGGTATATACAATAAAATAACATTTTTTACAATTTTTGTCTGTCTGTCTGCCTGTTTGTTCCGGCTAATCTCTGAAATATCTGAACCGATTTTGACGGGCTTTTTATTGGCAGGTAATTGATGTAATAAGGAGTAACTTAGGCTACTTTTATTTAAAAAAAAAACTTAAAGTTAAAGCGGACGATGTCTCGGGCGGCCGCTAGTGGTAGTGTAGTGCACTTGGTTACTAAGGTAACTACCTATTTGTCGTTTGATGTATCAATTTTGTTATAGGCACCTAACAGCGAACGTTGGGGCCCTGACCGAGTGTATTTATGAGTGTATTCTCAAACAATAGTGAAGCGCAAGAGCTTGAGGTGACTTTAAATATCTGACTTACAACCATTTTTCCTTGAAATCGTTCCAGATTATGTTTGCCACTATATGCATTGATATTCAAATCGCAATCACGCGACTGGTTGTATTGCTTAGGTGCCTATGTTCACGGTACTGGACAATGGACATGTTTCAGAGACGTATATTATAAAATTTTTATGGAACTTCTATTTTTTTCGATTTAATAGGTTCATAACGTTAGGATGTCTAGTTATCATTTTTATTTGAAAGAATTCATTTTTTTTATATATATGAGTTTGCTATAGGCTAAGGAGTCTCGGTATAATAATTTTGTAGATATCTTTTAATTTTGGCACCGAAAAGTCAGGGTTAAAATGACAAAAAAGAATAGAATTCATAAACGCAGTTATTTTATAAATTTATTATTTTCGCGTTTCTATAAATTAAAAGACTTTGTAACAGAAAGTCTTCTATCTTAGGCAGTTAAAGTGTTAATATGTTAATCATCACTGTAATGCAATAATCATGAAACAATAAAAAGACGCTTAATTAACTTTTAGTAAGTAATAACATTTTTTAATTATCTTTCTTTAGCTTTAGCCGTTTGAATGTATTTAACGAGCATCTTTACGGAAATTATTGGAAAGCTTAAGCTAAATTCTATTATCTTTGCAAGATAATTAAAAGAACATAAAAAGACCGGTACTAATTATAGCTATTAATTTAGAGCTCATTCAATATTTTTATTAAAAATACACGTGCTTTTTAATATTACACGATATTGACTGTATATTGTATCGAATTCAATTTTTCAAAGAAAGAGGATCAATAGCCAAGTTAGCAAGAAAAACATAATTCTTCAATGACTAAAATTATAATATTATTAATAAAAAAAACAAACTTATTACCTGGACGTTGGGGGCCGCACCGCTAACAAAGTAGATGATATCGAGGAAAAATAAATAACTCACAAAATAATTGATATACATAATGTTTACAGACCGCACTGGCCAATTTATAAGTTATATTTTGAAATAATAAAATAAAAACTTATTATAATAACACTCGTTCACAGAACAAAACATCGAACAACGAGATCGATATCTCAGCTTTAACTAACATGTTGGCATATTACGGTGGTTTTGAGTTAACGAATATTTTTGAATGGTCCTACTGAGCGTGTTGCGTGCAGACGGTCGTCTGGAGAGAGCTAGCGCGAAGAACAGAATAAAATACAATAAGGATCGATCCCGTCCCGATGCGGCCGCGCCGCCGCCGCGCCGCGCCCGCGCCCGTCGCCTTGCCACGAGCAAAAAACGTACACGCACCCCGCCCACCGCTTACCATTCGTTTCGTTCGCTACTCAACGAATAATGACGTGCCATTAGTGATAAAACCGGTGTTGACCAATACAATCAATGGATTAGCGAATTAGTTGCATAGTCACAATCATTAGAATCATTGTTTTGCATTGCTGCTGCCTATAATGTTGACAGATAACTATAACTAAAAAGGTTATCTTTATAAGGATTCAGTATTTATTTTGTTTCCGTTTTAGAACTGCATGTCTAGGACACTAGTCTGTAACAAGTAGAATATAAAGAATTTGTCTGCTCTCTCTTTGCAACACGTTAAGAGAGATTTATCAAAGTTAACAATACCAATGGACGAATAATTATACTACTACTCAAAGTTAACAAAGGATTCCCTACACTTTGAATAGTTTTAATATAGAGTAGCGAGTTAAAGAAAAACGGGCAATAGTATTTAAATTATGTCCCTTCTTAATCAGATACTTATTTTTATCAGCTGTTCTCAACGAAGAATCCGACTTAAGGTCAAAATTTAAGACGGGAAATTCTACAATTTATTTACTGTGAACAAGCAGATCTTTTTCATTGAAATTAATAAAGCAAGCGATACGTTCTGCGAAAAGTTGGTAATTCTATATACAAGTAACAACTTATTAAGATTCTGGTTCTGGATACTGACAACAGATTCTAAGGCCCACTTGCAGTAAATTTGCTAAATTTCGATTTAACAAACACTAGATTTAACTCATAAAAAACATTATTGAATAGGATAAATCTAGTATCACTTAAATTGAGATTAGCAAAATTGCAGCAAGTGGATGTAAGGCCCACTTGCAGCAAATTTGCTCAATTCGATTTAACTAGAACTGGATTTAGCTCATACAAAAATGACAAACGTTAATGTCAATTTGACTAAATAGAATACCGATTATGTTTTACTTCTTAGTTTCATTTTCGATTTTGAAGTCGGTTTTATTTTATGCTTAAATTTTTTTGTACTAGAGTGTATGCTTCATGGGCATTCGACATGTTTTTTGTCTAAACAATGTTAATATTATGACCCACTCTTTGAAATTTGCCATTACAAGCATCTTCGAGCATCATATTCAGATCTTCCAAGGTCATAATACTATATAATATCTACCTGTAACTTTACCGTGCCGTATTTTCCGCCATCTCTCATATCGCATCTTTTCATAAACACAGAACAGAGAACGAGTTCCATATAATTATGTTATAAGCTCATAAGTAGCGAAAAGAAAGAAAGCTCATTTAAAAAAAATGTAAGCAGTATCCAATCTACCTGAGTGAAAAATACTTTAGTCATGATATATTAATTAAACAGTATATGAAGATTTTGATAACACTGAAAGGCAGAGACAAAACCAAGGCAAAGCATTATAATAATAATAACAAAATTAATTAATTAACAATAATTACAGTCGGTAGGTATGAAGACTACATAACGCGAGTCATAATTCATTATGTTGCTTTGACCATACATGGTTAACGTAATTTTTTAAACACAGAATAATTAATATTACATGTCTGGTGAAAATAGTTTAAGTGCATACACCCGTTTAATTGTAAGCGATCGACATAGCATACTTACGATACCATAGCTCGTCGAATTCTGAAAATCTATCTCATCTACAAATAATACAACACCATAGAAATCTATGATGACTCGCGCTATGTGGTCCTTATAGCCTAATTATTTTCTATTATCCTAACGTAGTTCGGCGAACCGATTGACTTTGGAGTCCCAAGGTGCTTCAATGGTTACCTCACACCGGGAAGCGTAGTGTCGGTATACATTCCTTACCAGGTGGACTGACGACATCAAGCGAGTCGGATGACCCACTGGATGCGGAAAACACAGGATCGTTGTATATGTAAATCCCTTGAGGAGGTCTATGGTCCAGCAGTGGACGTCCATCGGCTGATAATGATGATTTTAGCTTTGTCTTGGTGTTGTCTCTGCCTTTCAGGGTTATCAAAATATTCATAATACATGTTTAATTAACTTATTATAACTGTCTCACATTTCACTCAGACAGATTGGATATCTCATCGGGACTTATGAGCTTATATAGGTAACTTAAGGAACTCGTTCTCTGTTCTGTTTACAAAAAGATGCGATATGGGATATTGTTGCGTTATAATTTGATGGGTGGATTAAGACATAGGACTCTTTAAATACCGAAAAATGTATGGTATAATCACGGTAATGTATGTCATCATGGTATAATCCAGACAAATTATTGCTATTATAAGTGTACGTACGTGCAGTTTTTTCAGAATTTTTATTCTCATTTGTTTTTGAATTCTAAAGTCCAGAATTAATATAATAGGTATAGACTAGTATTAGGACTAGTATTATTACTAGTCTATATGACCAAAATTAAGTAATTTTCAGTTCTTTAATAAATAAATAAATATTTCCAAAAATCACACCAATTAGCCTAGCCCCAAAGTAAGCACTATAAAGGCTTGTGTTATGGCATACTAGGGTAACGGATAGAATACGTAATTATACTGTACATATATAATTATATTTATATAGAAATAAGGTAAGTGCGCCTAAAAAGGGCCGGTTCCAAATAAGGTCCATCTTTTCAAACTTCCCGCACTTAATATTTAAACCAAAACTGATTTTGCGCAGCGCCTCCCCAGTAAACAATCATAAAAGCGCACCGACGTTCATTGCCTCCGCGCCGGCCATTTTGGCAATGGCTCTGTGTGTAACCTCAGGTGCAGTCGACGTGATTGAACGAATTAAATATTCTGATCCAATTTTGCTTTGTTTCAGTAATAAAACTCGGTGTTATGTAATAATTTTACAATAGTAATGTTAAAATACTTTCAGAACGTGGATTGACGGGATAAGTTACTAAAATATATTTAATAAGGATAAGTATATACACACTGAACCTTTAAGTTCAGTGGTTACCGTGTTACCTGTTAGAAACACTTAATAAGGTCCACACTATGATTAAATAAGTGTTATACCTAATAAGGTCCCAAGATTAAGACTGAAAAAATAACTCATTAGTAACATTTAGTGATTGTCTTTCGTAAAATTAATAAAAATTTGCACAAACCTTCAATTTGTTTCATTTATAGCTAGAAAATATATAAGTTACAACTTATATATATTTCGTATGACTTTATAAGGGCCACAATACTAAATTATATGAATTAATATTGGAAAGCCATGAAGTTGAAAGTAGTTTAAAGCCGTTGCTATCTAAATAATTAATTTTTCTGATACTCAACGTCTGAAATCTTGCAGTTCAATCATGGACCTTAATTCGAGCCCTAGTACACAATAAGGACCATAAACAAGCTTTTAAAAAACTTTTTTTGTAAATAAATGGTCATTCGTGTGTTCTTTTTGTGCAACGTTTTCTTTTCAAATAAAAACAGTTTGGTTGATCATGACGTCGTACTAATTATCACACTTCCAAACATTGATTTATTTCGATTTCCAAAAACCCGGCCCTTATTAAACGCAATTACCTTACATATTAAACATCCATCATCATCAGCCGAAAGACGTCCACTGTTGGACATAGGCCTCCCCCATGGATTTCCACAACGATCGGTCCCATGCTGCCCGCATCCAGCGGCTTCCCGCGACCTTTACCAGATCGTCGGTCCACCTTGTGGGGGGCCTGCCAACACTGCGTTTCCCGGTACGCGGTCGCCACTCGAGGACCTTTCCGCCCCAGCGGCCATCGGTCCTGCGAGCAATGTGCCCTGCCCATTGCCACTTAAGGTTTGCAATTCTGTGGGCTATGTCGGTGACTTTAGTTCTCTTGCGTATCTCCTCATTTCTGATTCGATCACGCAGAGAAACTCCGAGCATAGCCCTCTCCATTGCCCTTTGGGTGACTTTGAGCCTTCTTACAAGACCCATTGTAAGCGGCCACGTCTCGGTTCCGTATGTCATCACTGGCAACACGCACGAATTGAAGACTTTCGTCTTGAGGCACTGCGGTAGATGTTCCGAGAAGATGCTACGTTGCTTCCCGAACGCTGCCCAGGCGAGTTGGATTCGTCGATTAACCTCTTTCTGGAAGTTGGACTTACCCAGTTGGACTATTTGTCCCAGGTATACGTACTGGTCAACAGCTTCCAGTGTAGAGCTCCCAACAGTCACTGGAGTGGGTACGACATTGGAATTCGACATGATTTTCGTCTTGTCCATGTTCATTTTGAGACCCACTTGTTGGGACACCCTACTGAGGTCGCCGAGCATTGTGCCAAGGTCATCCATGGTCTCAGCCATGACTACGATATCATCTGCAAATCGAAGGTGCGTCATGTACTCGCCGTTTATGTTGATGCCAAGTCCGCTCCAGTCCAAAAGTTTGAAAACGTCTTCCAGCGCAGCTGTAAACAGTTTCGGTGATATAACGTCACCCTGTCTTATACCACGCTGCAGCTGGATTGGCTTCGTGTTTTGGTCCTGGAGTCGAACTGACATAGTGGCGTTTTCATACAACGACTGCAACACTTCGATGTATCGATAGTCTATTTGGCACCTTTGGAGTGACCGAAGCACGGCCCATGTCTCGATCGAATCGAAGGCTTTCTCGTAGTCCACAAACGCCAAGCATAATGGCAGGTTATACTCTTCGGTCTTCTGTATAACCTGCTGCAGCGTATGG